CGTTCGGCGTCGCGGAACTGGTAGCTGCGGCGGGGGAAAAACCGAAGCGTCAAGCTATGGGAAAAGGTGGTTTTCAGTAAGGATATAAAAGAAAGACGAGACAGAAGACTAGAGGGAGGCTATAGTTGCGCAAAAGTCTTTATTCTTTGGAGGTGGGTTTTTTTTGTAAGGGCAGCCAAATTTGATAATGAAAGCAATTAGTAAATAGCAGGACATGACAGGAAATGAATATGTAGTAGCAGTATTGCTATGCTGTTGGAGCCGTTGCTCTTGCTACCTGTTGACCCTGTCGGTGAGATTGCAGACTAACAAATGTATGTGCAGCTGGGCATCTCTTGTAGGGTAGAGTTCAGGAATCGTGAAGTTTAGCTACTATAGTCCTCGTGCTTTAAAAAAAACCTGATATACAATAAGAATTGGTTTGAATCAAATACATTTGATTAATTGGTTGGGGTTTTTTCCCTAAATGTCCAGGTTAACTCACAGATTTAGATCTATTGTAGGGTAAGACAAAAGTTTTGTTTTCCGTAGGCAGCCAGATAAGCAACTAGAGAGAATTTTAAATTCCAAGGATTAGGGCTAGTGTCTTGCCCAAAGGAATCCTAGTCAAGATTTGGAGCCGCTATGAATTACCGTGGTACAAATAATGATTCTCCTTTTTGAGGTGCAAATTCTGCCTGAAAACAGGAGATGGCCTCTGGCCTGCCGAAGCTGCTGCGCTGTGAGGGTGGATGCTCACCGCTGAATTTGCGCGGCCGCATTCCACACAAGGCGCACACGTGTCTTCCCCAACTCATTCACTGTGAAAAGGGACGCCGGTGGCTTTGCTACAAACGAGTTCCTTTTTATCTTGTGGGGTTGGGTTGGGTTAAAACGAGAAAGTTCACGGGAGGATGAATACATACTGTGTTTAAAAATTTATATTGGTGCATAAAAAATATCAGAGGTGTTAACTGCATTGTAGTCCGAATGCCAAATGTATTCCAAGCTCATGGAGAGGCCTGAGAGGCTTTGTTTATACTGGCTAGAGAATTCATGACCCGTGAATTGAGTTAAAGGCTGCCCTTCAAATTCTCCTTAAATATGGATCCGATCAAATCAATTTCTGTAACAGTTTAGCCAGCTAGTGTGGAAGGTCATCTTTTGCCTGTGATAGTTTTGTAGTCCAGTAAGAACGTGAGACCAGAGTTGGAAGGAGAAATGAGGAGCAAGAAAAGCAGATCCTTAAAAACAATGCGGTATGATTCCTTTCTACGTAACATTAAAAAGAGCTCAAACTGCTAAACCAGAGTGAATAAATTAGGTACCTGTGATAACACACCAGTCTGCTGAAGAACCTGACTTGATACCTCGAATACATGTACACATCGTATGATGAAAACTCTAGTTGATGAACAGGAGGAAATTAACGTTATGAATGTCTGTAGGAAACTTGTACATGCCAAAATGCTGATGCTTGCTTTAATACATGAATCACAGAGAACACCGGTTAAAACAGTTGCGCTCTGCGCATACACAAAACTCGCTTTCTGAAGCTCCTTTATCAGTAAACAAGGCTCAACCTTGTTGAGCCTTTTAGGGACGGTGGGGTCCCTAAAAGACCCTTCGACATAGAAAAAGTAAACTAAATGCTTTTATATTACATGTGCGCCTCAGAGCAGAGGGAGCAGCTAATGAAATTGCCGAGTTAAAAAAGGTTAGACCTTGCGGGATGCTCTGGGGTGCATGAGAGCTCTTCAGAGAGAACGTTCTAAACTGCTGCTGTCTTGCTTTGGTTTCCCCCACCTTAATGCACGAGGGCAGGATATTCCTGCCATGTTTGTAAATCTTTTGAGGGGAATGGTGGAACTTCTGGTGTTTGAAATATCCTTACTTCTGCTACTTACCTGGGACAATGGGAAAAGGTCAGCTGGGGAAAATGTGAGGATTTCTTCAAGCTTGGCTTAAAGATCCTAGGCTGTGATTTGTCAAGGTGCCTAAGAAACTTAGAAAATCAACTTGGAGCAAGTTTTTTTCCCTGTAGCTCAGGAAGGGCTCACTGACCTTTTATGCTTACAAAAATTTCTCCTTTAGGAAACGGCCAGGCTAAGAAATGGATTTAGTTGATCTTTCCGCGCCTTAGAAAGTTTCTTGAAACAAATATCAAGCCTTATATTAATAAGGCCCATAACTAATAAGCCTCTATAGTTGCTGTCTGAATCAGACAGCACTGTTCAAGGAGTTTAAGTAGATTTCCTTTTCATCAGAAAAAGCGCAAGGTTTCTTAAAAGAAAATAAAAGCTTAGGCTGAAAATCTCGGTCTTGAAACTTAATCTATCAAGAATGAGTATGAAAACATTCAGTGTAAAGGCCAGTGTTTTGGAAATGCTAGTATGTACGAGCATTTTGCAAGCTGAGCAATTCTAGCAATAGGTAATTTCTGCTAACAACTGCTGCAATTAGAAGGCCGGTATTTTAACTATGCAGTCCGTTCTTTTTCTGAGCTAAGTTGCTGTCTTTCTCTATCCTGTTGAAAATTTTACAGTTTCATTCCATGCAGTGGCATTTGTGTTCATTTATAGACATGAAGAAAACATAAGCCTTTAGTTTTCTGAATTTTCCCCGAGTGATTTTCTCTACTCTCTCAGTTTGAGCTGTTCCTTCTCTGCCGATTTAATTCATCAAAATCTTGCAGCCCACTGTAGTCCTTTGGCATTCTCTTTTGTGCTGGATTTATATTTCTCAAGTATCTTGAAGTATATCTGACTGGTAGGAGGGCACGTTAAAAAAAAAAAAAGGTAGTATTGAAAAATGAAACAGCTAATGTAATTTTTTTTTTCTCTGCTACGTACAGAAGGACATGCACTGCTGAGTTTCCATATGTTCAATAGTCCTCCTTTTGCACTTAGTATGTTGATACTCTCCTCGCAACACAAAGTTTACTTTCATTTCCTTGCTCTGATATATGGTCTCAACAGCAAATAAAAAGGAGGAAAAGGAAAGGCAGACTTTAGGGTATTCTTAAGATACATAAATTTTCCCTAGTCCCAAAAGACAACAAAACGTCTGGATGTTTCTGAGGGAAAAGTTGTATGCAGTTGCTTTAGACTAAAAAAAAATTAATTATATATCTATCTAACTCATATAGATAGCTGTTCTCTGTGTAGCAAACAGGTGTTGTTGTGAAAATAACACATTTCTAATCTTTAGAAATGAGTTGCACAATTGAAAAAGCCTTGGCAGATGCGAAAGCGCTGGTGGAGCGGCTAAGGGAACATGACAACGCAGCAGAAGCTCTTATTGAACAGACTACAGCTCTTAACAAGCGGGTTGAAGCAATGAAACAGGTTTGTTTTTCAACTTTGTTTACTCCATTAAAAGAACAACTCGGAAACACATAATTTAAAATCGTTTTTGTGTGCTACTGTACAATCAGTATGTAATTTGGTTAATCCTTTAATACCATACTAAGTATTTTCATTATAGGTGTGACTATGATCTAAAAATAGGTTGTTTATATATTTAGTTTGATCCTGTGAAGAAGTTTTCTCTGTTAGTCCAGCTTAAATATCGAAAACTAGCATTTATTTGAAGAACACTTGTAGAAGTGGGGTTGGTATCTTACAAACCATTGTGTGGTGTCTTGTGTTTTGCTCTTCTGTGAGATACTACTTGTTTTATTAATTTCAACACGCACATTTAATCATACAGAGGCCCTGTCATGCTTTCTTCTGTTCAGAATACTTTATCTTTTCAGAGTCTCCTTTTGTTTCAAAGCAGCCCCTTAGGCTTATTCGTGATCATTTCCATTCTGATGTTAAGCTATTGGAGGCATGTTGCTAGACTGAGCATGACTTTCACTAGAGAACTTCTGGAAAAACATAAAGGTGCCTACTGACTTTCCACATGGGAGTTCATCCTGTCATTTTAATAGAACACAGGATGTGTTAATGGGCCTGTAAAATAATAAAACCCTGCATGTGCTTCATCCCTGTAAAACCAGCCATGCAGAGACTTCATAACTGCAAATAAAGAATATTAAATTTACCCATTTGTTGAGAGTCGGGATCCATTCATTCAGGTCCATGTGACTTGTACCGATATACAGCCTTGTGGATTAAGGTATTGGGAAGCCACGGTAAATATCTAGAGGTTAATACCTCATGGTTTTTCTTTACTATATGTGTATCAGTTTTAAATTACTTGATGGTGAATTTGACCTGCGTTAATTGAAGGTTAAATAATGCCCACTGCACACATCTGAGGTATGAAACTTGTTTAAAAACAAAGGTGATACTTTTGCATCTCTGAAGGGCAATATGTTAGCCACACCTTCAGAAGTGTGTTTGTTTGTTTGATGTTATTATTTAAAAACAAGCATTCTCTTGCTGGTTACAGCATTTGACTGACATTAGAACTGGTCCTTTGTGACTTGCAGAGTAATGCTTGCCTTCGGTTACTCAAATAAGTTGTGGTTGTTTTTTGGTTTTTTTAAATAACTAGTACCAAGAAGAAATTCAAGAGCTCAATGAAGTAGCTAGACATCGTCCTCGGTCTACGTTAGTGATGGGTATCCAACAAGAAAACAGACAGATCAGGGAACTGCAACAGGAAAATAAAGGTAAAACGTGAATATTCTGTCCTTTACAAGTTCCAGCCTGCACCACTGGAATTAGTGAGACTTTCACCATTGATCTATTCTCAAAAAATTGTTGTAGAAGACATTTTTTCTTCTAATCTCAACTTGTCAGTTTAACTGATCATAATGCAATCTAATAAAAAGTCCTAATGTCCAACCACTGGGACTATGATTAACAAAAAGAGAGACTTGTGGAAAATTACTTTTTCAGTCCTTATCTAATGTTCAGCACAAGTGAGGAGATAAATATAAATTACTTCTACAATATAGGTATCTATTTGGAAATGTGTTTTCCCACTGCTAAAAATAACTAATTTAGGAGCAGTCAGGACAAGTTGTAGTGTAAGCGCAGTAGTATAATTCCTTCTGGAATTCTGTACACTAGGAATATACTGTTCCTCCTGGAATACCTCAGGTATTCTAACAGTTATATTCAGCAAAGGAGTCAATGATCTCGATTTATATGAATCTTGCCTTATCTCAGGAATTATTTGTCCTTTGACAATATTTTGAACACAAGCATTTTTTAACTCGTATTTCACCAAGCTGCACATTAAAACAGATCTCTAAACTTCTTTCCAGCTTTTGTACAGTGTTGCTTATAGTGGCTAGAGTAAAGCTCCTCAGCTACACCCAAGATGGCTTACATCAGCTAAAGGGATTGAATATGAAGTCATATTAACAAAAGACCTTCTGTTTCTGACTGAACAAGAATTTTCCCAGGGTGCGAGGAGAGGGGACACTCAATTAAGGGCTTATTTCGGTTTTCTCAAGCTGAAGTACTTTTGCATTTTGTTTCAGTTCTTCTCTGTTAAACTCTAACTGAATTTAAAATTATGTTGGTAGAACTACGCACATCTCTTGAAGAACATCAGTCTGCTTTGGAACTCATAATGAGCAAGTACAGAGAACAGATGTTTAGATTGCTTATGGCAAGCAAAAAGGACGATCCAAGTATAATAATGAAGTTAAAAACTGAACATTCCAAGGTAATAACTTCATTGTTTTTTTGCCTAACACTTAGGTCAGTTTGTAGTGGATCAGACCAAAGCTTACTTTGTCTCAGTTTTTATATCATTGTACTAACAAGTCCTATTTTTTTATAATGCAGTCCATGAAACATGAACAGGAAACTTGATCAGTCTAGTAAGTCAACCTTACTAGCTTCTGAAGCACCTCCTTTAAATAGAAAAACAATTTCTTTTAGCAGTGTTGTACGGAAGAGAGAAGTGTGTGTTGGTAGTAATGACCCTGATCTAAGTGTGCTCTTTGAATTTGCTCAACTGAAACAAGGCCTGAAAACCTGTGTGGTTTTTTTTCTCTTTGGAGAAAAGAAACAACATGTGCAAATAAAAAGGTGAGAGATACAAAAAGTGTTCGTAGATGTTAGAGGCTGTCTTCGTAAAGAAACACTTTCATTGCATTGTTTGATATTACAGCATTAAAGTTTTACACGTCTGCCTTCCAGAGCAGAACTTTACAGTTTTGTGTTAGCATCTGATCTGACATTTGTGACCTTGGAACAGGCCTTAAGTCATACTGATCAAGAGGCCACGTAAGCTGGCAAAATAGGAATTAGGGAGGACATCAGGATATCCAAAAACCACTAACTCCTTGCCAGCCCTTCTCAAGGGTACATCCTCACCAACTCATTCTGTTACCACCGATCACAGCTTCCTTTCAAGCTAAATTTAGTTTTTCATTGAAAAAAGATTTCATGTAATCACCTTCACTGGAAACTGAGAAGAAAATAAAGATTTACAGCAAGTTCCTTCCCCCCCACCCCACCCCACCCCGTGAGCGGGCATTTAATGAGTAAACAGCTAAACCGTAGCTTTGGCAGTTGGAACGGCAGAGAGGAAAGGATGGAAAGGGCTGATGTTCGTTTTAGTAAAGTATATTTGTTTTCATCAGGTAAAGTTTATGATTCCAAGTGAGGCAGTTCTTTATGGTAATTTAATCATTTCTGGTAGTTTAAAGGCAAGCTGATCATCTGCTACATGCATAGACCTCCAGTCAAACTCATAATTTAAAGGTGGGATTTAACTTCAGTCTATACCGTTCTTCATTTCAGTCCTACTGTTCTGCTTTTCCCGATGTTAGTTAGTAACTGTTGTGAATTTTGTCCAAAGGTCAGGTCAGGCATGAATAGGCTGGCATGATAGTAGAGTTGGAATAAAAGACAAGTTGAGGAAAAGACAATGAAAAATAAAAGCTTCTGGAAATACCATTAAAATATTTGGCTTAACTGAACAGCAATGAATACCAAAGAGGCATAGGCTCTTTATCTAGATCTGCAGGAGGAAAGAAGTAGTGACCCTTTAAGCACTTCCTGCTGGTAGGTTGGCCAGCGAGAAAATAAACTGTCACCTGAACCAGCAAGGTCCAGGTAAGAGATCACTTCTTTGCAAACAGTGAAGATTATCTAAAATCTAGCTTCCTCGCAAAGGCTGTTATGCCTGTGTTAATGGCTCCTATCATCCCGCTCCTGGTAGTGCAACAGGACAAGAGCAAACCAAACTACTGCTTTTTTTTTTTTTTTCTCCTCCTTCTTGAATCTTTCAGTAAGGTGCAGTAGTTATTTATTTATAATAGGAAAGTACCCTACTAGCATTAATGAACGGACACAAAGAGGTCAGTCAGGACACCAAAGTTTTTCTTACAATTCAGCAAGGACAAGGACCTCTGAAGTCCAGATCCCAGATAAGCCGGAATTGGAAGTGGATTCAAGCAGAAGTATCTAAAAAAGAGCGATGGACAGATCTGCGTTTCCTAATGTATGACATAGTGAGGATGACCACTTCACCTGGTCTTTTTAAGAGATAAATGCCTACTCGTGGGCTGGTACTGGCTGTACTGGACTTGAGACCAGGTTTGAAACAAATGGAAAGGATGTCGCACACCCTGCTGTTCTTAAACGGGTTTAGTCTTTCTACGTATCCAAAACGATAGACATCAGCTCCTGCAACCCAGGAAGGCCTTGTCAGAGCAATCACATGGCTAACTTGTAGCCATCTGGAAGATGTGGAAGACATAGTCATTTAAGCTTATATAAAACTCTAATAAAAGGGATCACTGTGTGGTAAAGCAGATTTATTTAAGTAAACAGGACCATAGCGGCTGCTCGTGCTGTAAAGTTATATAGAACTGGTTTTCTCAAATTTAGGCCTGCGTTCACATTTTTATTAAGTGGCACAGCAGTCAAAACGCACGTTTAATGCTTTGCTTATTTTTAATAATGCAGAAAATAGATTGCTAAAGCTGTCATTATTTTATTTTTATGTCTTAGGAGCTGCAGGTGCATGTGGACCAAATTACAGAAATGGCAGCAGTCATGAGAAAAGCCATTGAAATTGATGAAAAGCATGGCTGTAAAGAGCAGGAACGTATCATTCAGCTTGAGGTAAGTATGAAATCAAAACAGCAGTGGCACAAATAGCAAGGGAGTAGCCTTACCACAATTATTTATATTGAGTTACTGTACCAGTCACTCGCACTGCTATTTGTTACACTTTCCTTGTTGGGAAGACTGTAAGTACTATTTTCCCCACTATAGCTTACTGTCAAGTCTTGCATAGGTGATACTTCATCACCAGAAATCCGTGATTTATATACTGGCTTAAGCTTTCTCTTTTTTTAAGTCTCTGTGTAGCAAAAAAAGCTAGAAAATAATACAAATTCATCCTAACGAATAAGACACTAGGATGCAAATAATAATACCCACACCTTTGGCTTTTAATTTTATTTTTTTTTAATAATAATTTTGTGCTTGAGCAGGGTCTCAGTTGCTTATCATTGGAGGGTCAACATTATTGCTCTTTAATTAAGTGCTAGCAAAGCACTTCATTATGGAACAGGATGTGTGGAAAGAATAGGAGATTTTTTTGAAACGCAACATTTGAAATTATTTGCCCTCTTCTTGCGCATCTTTGCGTTTTGAGCTTTTTTTTTTATGCTTAATGCCCATTCAAGAGAGCAAGAGGGTCAGAAACCTGATGTTCTTGGTTTTAGAAGGTAACATAGCACTACCTGACTGCAAATCAGTATTTTAATCCTTACACTTACATTTGGAGGGGAGGGGAGATTATGAACGTAGTTATCTTGACTTCTTTCTGGAGTTCTACTAAACGCCTTTTCTTTCTCCGGTTATAGCAAGAAAACAAAGGCTTGAGAGAAATTCTTCAAATAACTAGAGAATCGTTCCTGAACCTCAAGAAAGAAGATGCATCAGAGAGTACGTCTCTGTCAGGATTAGTAACAAGCAGTGATTTGAGCCTGAGGAAAAGCTGAAGACTGTGGAAGTCAACAAGCTTCAATTGCACACTTTACAAACGGAGTATCAGGGGTCACTTGTCAAGCACTTGTTACTGAATAGGGCACCAGCAAGCTAATGCATCTTAAACTCCAGTTTAGTGGCTTTTATACCGCATAGAAGAAATTAGAATTGGTATTCTGCAAAACCTTAGTGACGGATTAATTGCCATAGATCTAACTTCAGTAGGAAATGGATTAATGCACTTACTGAATTGGGAATTATTTTTATATGAAGTCATTTTACAGATAAAAGACAAGATTTCACATAATTTATATAAATTATTGCTCATACAAAGTTTCGGTGCATCTATTACATAATCAAGGTAAGATTTAAAGTCTGATCTCTGGCTAAAAAGTAAAAAAACTTATGAATTTGCTTTGTGCATGATCCACGTTACGTTTTTTCCTTGTAGTAAGTTTTTAATAAGTTCTCATTTTGCAACAAACCTGTTTAATGGAAGGGGTCCATAGGCAGCATAAAACTTAAGGATTTCAATTATTTAGCCACGGGGTAGCCTGTTCAAATATAAGGCAAATTGTTTAAACATAAGCAATGCTTTTGCAGTTGTTCAATGTTTATTTTAAATTGAACAAGATTCTTTCAAATGTGTGTACTTAATTGTATTTTCAAAACATGGAGAGCTGCTCCCACTTTATTGTTTTCTGGAACACAGGTAGCATAGTATCATTCTGCCTTAGCTTTTAATTTTATGAGAAAACCAGGCTCAGTTCTCTATGGGTAAGAAGCCACATTAGTCCCATCTATTTCTTCTCCGATTGCCTGCCCAAACTTCCTAACTGGGAAATGGCAATTTGAAAGCACCCAAACAGCAGCAGCAGAAAGGTGGTTGGGGGAAGGAGGGAGGAGCTCTACGGCAAAGTTGGCAGCCTGCACGCCTGCAATCAATACTCTTTCCTTTTTCTTTAAGCACTGGTCATCAAGAAGGTTTTTAGGTAAGTTTCAGGTACATGTTAACGTTTGCACTAGGAAAAGTTTCGATATGCTGTATTGACAAATAGACTGCTTGCTTTTAATGCTGAAATACTTGCAGAAGTGAAAAGGAATTGGCTTTTCTAGATCAAAAAGTGCAGCTTATATCATATGCAGGTACAGTGGAAGTGCTACACAAGACAGGCAAAAGACAGTAAAGAGGTACCGAAATAATTCATATTTGGCTTTTGTTTGTCATACTATCGCTTCTTGGTCAAAGCAGCAAGAACATTCCTAGCATTCATGTGTATCATCGCTTTTTGTCCAGCATGTTAATGTATTCTTTACTTGGAATGCATACTCAAAGAAACAGAGGGAAAGCTTGCAACCACAGAAAATTGTAGATCTACAAATGCCACCCACAGTTGAGTATTTTGGCTGTTTAATAACTCGCCTAGCAAAAGGAGTTGAACTCCTATTCTGAAATCAACTATTACTTAATCAAATTTGATTTTTGGTTACAACAATGGAAAAAGAATTAAGCATCAAGCACATCTAAGCGTGTCAGCTTCCTTTGACTCAGTATGGCTTCCCTGGGCTCAAGGTAAACGCACCACAGGTCTAAGGGTGAACTTTCAGTTCCCAGTGAACTAATTTACAAGGAGTTAAATATTTTTGTTACGTTGCCGTCAGTTGCTGCCCTCCTTCCCATAGTGCTTTCAAGAGAAACAAGTGACATGGTGGGAAAGAGCAGTGTTTAGCAGAGACAATAAAAGCCAGTTTTCAATTAACTAATACATGTGCCAGGAAATGCAGTTGAAGGGCTCAGAAAGGGCAGGTAAATCAAGCTCCCCAAATTTTCACAGCATTCTTTATAAATGGAGAAACTGCTACTTCTCTTTCCAGAGCATCTTAGCTTGTTTCTAGGCTTAAGAATACATTGAAGACATTCACATGCATGGAAAAAAGTTTTAACCATTTCCAAACTTGCTAAACATCTGGGGGGAATTTTTTGGGGAACATCTAGCTCAAGCACAAAATCTACTTGTCTGCTATTATTATTGTCTATAAAACTTAGCCAATGCTTCTATAGTTTAGATTTTGCATTTCTACTGTAGCTTGCAAGCTGGTGACTTATCAGAAGCAACATCTGTTTTTTAATGGAGTGTGTTTCGTTGTTGCAAAATTACAAGTAATTTTGTTTCAGTTGATTAAGTTACTCTTTTCAGAAGCGTCTTTTCAGCCATTGACCGGTATCAGGGGCATTTATATCCATTTAATGCTGAATGCAGTTTCATGGCTGACTTTCTGGTTTGTCTTTCAAATACAATCTCCAGAGTTGTACAGCAGAGAAGGGTTGTTAGCCTGTGGCAGTTCTTTAAGGTTGCTCTATTACGAAATAATGCTTGATTAGTGTTTATTTTTGTAAGTTAAAAACGTGACTTAATTTATCTACTCCTAGTCTTCACATTTGATACATTTCCCCTGTCATTCCCCTCACCTGATCACTTTAGGATTTTAAAGAACCTTCACAGTGTGTGGAGTGACTATTTTTCATTGCATACCTGTTATTTTTGTAATGCAAATAGCTTGAAGAGTTTATGGCTAGAGTTGTGTACTGTACAGTAAACTTATTTTATCAATAAAGGTGACTGAAAAGATGGATGTCTTCATGATTAAAGCAAGGTACTGAATCTGAAATGAGCCTTGTTAGTAACATGCAAGAAAAAAAGACATCATTTTGCCATTTACTCAGCTTATTTTTATACTTTAAAGGGAGGCAGGCCAATTTCTAGTGCTTTTGTTCATGTTGCTATATAGCAAAAGAAAAAATCCTCTGTAAGTCTTCATTTTCTCTTGGAAAACAAACAATCACTTCTGCACAGGTAGTTACTCATCTTTCGAATGAACCACTGGAACTCTATTAATACAGAGGAGCAGTAAGGATAAACAAAAAGCAGTCCACTGGGCTTTGGTTTTTGGATCAAAACATATTTTGGCACAGATATGATGTGACAGTTGTGGTTTTTTTCTTGAAGATTAAAAAAAGTCACTTTCACTTGGGTTCCTTTCTCTGATGTGTAACTGAGAACGGTGGTGGATTACATTCATAAGCTGACAGTGTAATGTTTTCTCCACTTCCCCATGATTTCTCAGAAGAGAAACTTTTTCTCAGTGTCAAATCCTGTTTTTAAAGACAGGTAATAAATGTCAAGCTAAGTCACAAATACACATAGCAGCTATTCAACAAGGTAAAACTGAAGGGCAGCTTGAAACTAAATTGGGCTGTTTGGTACAACTAAAAGCTTTAAATAGCTTTGGCTTTTTAACACTCACGCATTGGATTAGAAGATTATGTTAAAATACAGAGCTAATGGCACTGTTTTCATACAGAATTACATTTACTAGGATCCCTTTGTAGATACCCAAAATAAGGTTTACATTGGCTTAGGAGGTTTTCGGTTTTAGTTGGTAAACATTAAGCTTTAAAAGCACTTTTGCTGATTAAAAAAAGAATTTCTAAATCTCCTATTTGAGTGTAAAACACGCACTTGTTCTTTCTGCAGATACTGATGTCTGAGATGACAGGTGGTTAAACTGGCTAACAGAACACTGTAGTGCTGGTCACAGTATGACAGGTTGTATACCACGACAGTGGGAAGACAAGACAGGAGAGCAAAAGAAATCCTACGTTGGAAGTGAAGGAACACAGTAGAAGAGTAATTTAACATTACACAACTCCTTTACCAGCCTTCTCAACATCATGCTGTTGGTAACACTTAAGTTCTGGAAGCAGCATCAAGCTACGCACTGCCACCAGAGACCAAAAAAAAGGAGGAGAAAAAGCAACAAGATGCAGTGGGAACACCATTCAGCTGTGGGTGTCCAAAAAGCCGCCAGCTGTCTGCATGATTGTCACAGAAGGTATCTTCTCAGAGGAATTCATTTAACTTGGTGTGCAGACAAAGCCATCTCATTATTGTCCTAGAAAAATCTATATGCTCTCCCGCACATATCCCCAAACCAGCACCAGCAAACAAATGCCTGATACCATTTAAAGAGCAGAAAAGTAGACTCTGTATAATGCCAACAGAGGACCACTTGCTAAACTTACCTTCCAGAACACCCAAGTGTGCTGGGAGAACCATGCGCAGCAGAGAGCTGGTTTATGTCACATGCACATACCAGGTAGAGGTGTAGGTCACATTCAGCCTCCCCTTTTCCCCATCCTACTTCTTTAATTTGCGATGCAGTTGAATTTCATACTGATGACAGTAGTGCAGACTAACTTAAACAAAATTGTGCAGCTTCCACATATTAAAAAGTGTGCTGCAAAATAAAATGGATTCTATTTCAATGACTATATGAGAAAAGGTACCAATGTTCCTGCTGCCTGCAACCACCTCCCTTCCCCAGACATGTTCTGATGCAGCAGCATGCCTGTTGGGAGCCAGTGTGGCCACGCCTTTGTATCGGACAACATCATTTTCCAAGTTCAGAAAAAAAACCCTCTTACGTCTAGAAGAAAGCCTCAAAACAACTGCTCAACATGGAGGGAAACATTTCATAATTCCAGTCTTGGAAGAAGTACATGCTGGCAATACTCCTCAGACACGAGCTAGAGCACAGCAGCACAAGAGAAACAAGCAGAACTCCAACTGCAATCCCTTTCCATTGCCCTAAGGTGAAGTTTTACCTTTTTTAAAGAAT